CGGCGCGTGTCGCTATATATAATCCGCAGGGCGGGGGAGGCCGCCTCGCCGCTCCGAGTGCTAATTTATGGGGGGGAAGACTCCAGCGCCGCGGGGCGCCGGGGACGGGTGCGGGGCCGGGCCGGGGGCGGTCCGCAGGGGCTGAGGGCCCTTCCCCTCGAAGCTCGGCCAGGGAGGGTGGTGGCTCCATTTGACAGGTGAGGAGCCTGAGGCTGGGGGCGCGGTGCGCCTCTCCCAAGGTCACGGAAGGGGGCGACTTTCACCCCGGGTGCATCTGCCTCCTCCGCAGCCCAAGAGCGCTGGAGGCAACGTCCGGTGTCCCCACCGCCTGGAGGCTGGCCCTGGAGGGCTCCGGCTGGGGACCCCGGCCCTTCCCAGCGGGGGCATGGCCTGCAGGGCCTGGCCAGGGCGGCTCCGCGGCCTTCCACCGGGCCAGCTGGAGTGGGCCAGGCCATGGGCGGAGCCCCTTGCCAGGGCACCGCAGGGTGGGGGGCCCAGGCCGCCGTGGGGCCCCGCCCGGCCACTCTGCCTGCCCGCCATCCAGGGCAGCTTGCCCAGAGGCTGCCGCCGTGTTCAGCAAGTTTAGAAATCCTGCGGCGACATTCCCTTCAGGTTACAGAGGCAGCACATCTTTGTGGCAGCAAGTGTGAAAATAGGGTAAACTGGAAAGAAGCTGCGGAGGGACCCCCAGCACCCCCACCAGAAGGGACAGCACAGCAGGCCTGGCGTGGTCGCTCCCGCGCAGGTCCCCAGCTGGCCCACTTGCCCTGGCCGCGCTCACCTGTCCCCTCTTGCCCGCAGCGCTGTGCTTCGCCGTGACCCGCTCGCTGCTGCTCACCTGCCTGCTGCCGGCCGCGCTTCTGGGCCTGCGCTACTACTACAGCCGCAAGGTCATCCTCGCCTACCTCGAGTGCGCGCTGCACACGGACATGGCCGACATCGAGCAGTACTACATGAAGCCTCCGGGTGAGTCCTGGGGGTCTCCAGCCTCCTCCTCGTCCCTTCCTCTGCCCCAAACTGCCCCTCCCCCCAGCTCAGCAACCTCTACAGGTGGGCCTGGGCCAGGGATCCCAGTGACCTGAGACTTCTGGGTGACTGAGGGCTCTGGCCAAGGGCGAGGGTGTCAGTGGGCTGGGGGAGGCAGAGCTGGCCCTGGGCCAGGGTGGCCTGGCTTCGCTGTGCCTGCTCCTGTCCCTGGTGCCTGCTGAGTGGGCAGGGCCTCTCTCGGATGTGATCCTGGGCTGGCAGGAGTGCCAGGCCCTGGGTGGAAGGGCTGTGGAGCTGGGGTAGAGGACCCTGTGAGGTGACAGAAGACCAGAGCCATGAGCCTTGGCCTCTGCTTCCACCCTGGTTTCTGCACCACTTAGTGAACCGGAGGGTCTTGCCCCAGCTCCCGTGGCCTTCTGTGGAGTAAAGGGCTGGGACCAGGGTCTAGAGGGACCCTGGGGGGCATTCTCTGCCCCTCACGCTGGCCCTGAGGCAGTCAGGGTCCTGGGAGGAGGGTCGCATGGTTTCCTCCATGCTGGAGCCACAGAGAGAGTCGTCTAAGCCCTCCGGGGCATGAGGGTCTCCCAGGTGCTGGGAGGGTCTGTGGGTTGAGGAGATGGGGACAGGGTGGGCCTGAACGATTGGTTAGGGTCTAGCAGGAGCAGGGTCAGTGCAGGGAAGGGCCTCCTGCTCTGGCACTGCCACCTGCTTGCCCACTGGCTCTGGCTGAGCTACTGCATCCTGTGCCCCCGCCCCCATCCCGCTGGCCTTGGCGCCTGCCGTTCGCCTTGACCCTTCCCCAAACCCAAACAAAGCATCTAATCAGCCTCTGTTGGAGCCCTAGCTTCGCCTGGCTGTGCTTGGGAGAGGAAGGGGGGCAGAAGGGTGAGATCACCTGCCACCAAAGCCCATAACAGCAGAAGGGGGCTCAGGCCAGAGATCGGGCATGGCACTAGGTCCCTGCCCATGGCCCTGCCTTCTCTGGGCTGCAGCCTCTCCGGGTGTGAGGAGGGCTAGGGGCCCTTGCTTGCCCCTCCTGGAACATGTGGTGGGTCTGGGGGAAGACAACACAGGGGCAGGGTCTGAACAGCAGCCGACAAGGCCATACTGGATCTGTGGGAGCTGCTCATGCAAGTGGGGAAAGTGAGGTCTGGGAAGGGGCAAGTTGTGCCCAAGGTCACACAGGGCTTGGGGGTTTGCCACTCCCAGGACTGTCCCGATCTGCATGTGTGTGTGCGTGCGTGTGTCCGTGGGTGGGGGCAGGCCAGAACCCCTGGAGGATGGGCAGAACAGTTGGTGGGAGGGGGACTCGCCCAGGGCTGCCCCTTGGAGGTGGAGACCCTGCGTAGGTTGAAGCGTGGCGGCTGGATATGGGAGAGGCCCAGGGGCTCTGGGTTGGGGGGCGGGGCGGCCCTCTTGGAGACCCTGGGGCTGTGCAGAGCTTGGAGAGACAGGTTGCATGGTGTCACGGCATTGACAGCTGTGCCCAGGGGCTCACCCTGGGCCGCATTTTCTTTCTGCTGGTGGGGGGACTGTCAGGGGGCCCTCAGCACCTTTCTCCAGTTATGTGCCAAGGCTCAGGGTCCAGCACTAAGGGAGATAGGAGTTTCCCCTCCCAGAGCCTACAGGCTTGGTGGGATCCTGGGGTGGGAGTGCTTTCTGGGTAGGAGGCAGGTACAGAGGCTGGGTGGGTGGGTGCGGTTGGCCCCTCAAGGGAAGATGGGGTGGAAGGGATGGAGTGGGGGGGGAGCGGTGTGGGGGGTGGGTGGGTGGACGTAGCCAGGGAGGCCAGAGTGACCACGGGATGGGCATGTGGGCCTTGGCTGGGGAGCTCCCCAGCTGGTCTGCCCGCCTGGCCTCCTGCAGCCCTCAGCCTTCAGAGAGATCTCTGGGCATCTGTCACAGGCTGTCCCTGTGTCCTGTGCCCTGCAGGCCTCCCTCCTCCCCAATCCCTTTTGCTTCTCTTGTGTGTTTCTGTTCCCTTTCCTCTCCCTGTTCCCCTCCTACCCCTTGCTCCCACCAAAACCTGTCTCCGTCCCCCCAAACCGGCCCCTCCTACATGGCATGAGTCTGGGATTGGGCTGTGCTGTGGGTGGGGTTGGCTGGCCTGGCCACCGGCCTTGCAGCCCAGGAGCAGCTGGGGTCAGTGGGGGTTCAGTGGTGCCATGGCTATGCCCAGTCCCCTGCTGGGTTTATGAAACATTCTCCCAGGCTCCCTCTCAGCTCTCCTGATGCTCCCTCGTGGCCCCCACTGCTCTCCAGCACTCTGGTGTTGATGCTCAGAGATGAGCGTGGCAGGCCCTGGGTGGCTGGGAGCCCGCTCCCCGTCCACAGCCACCGTGGCCACGCAGGCGTGTGGGCCAGGCAGGAGCAGGGGTGGAGGGGCCTGCTTGGCTGAGGCCTGCCCACCTCATGGTCCCGGGGGAGGGACTGTGGTCTCCAGCCACCACCCTGACCAGGGCAGCCCAGCCTTGGAGGCTGAGTGGGTCCTGGCCATGGTGCTGGCTAAGCGCTCGTGGAAGAGGCAGGTGGGCCCTGGCTCTGGATGTCAGGCAAGTTCTCTGCTCAGGGGGCTCTGGAGGAGACAGCTGTTCCTGCGTGTCCTGAATTGTGGGGTCCCCCACCCCCGTCCTGCAGAGCTGTGGGGTGGGCCATGGGGGCCATCAGGATCGGGCGTCATTCTGATGCCCTGGCATGGGCTAGTGTTCCTGATTGCCTTGTCCCCTGCAGGTTCCTGCTTCTGGGTGGCCGTGCTGGATGGCAATGTGGTGGGCATCGTGGCGGCGCGGGCCCACGAGGAGGACAACACGGTGGAGCTGCTGCGCATGTCCGTGGACTCGCGCTTCCGTGGCAAGGGCATTGCCAAGGCACTGGGCCGGAAGGTGCTGGAGTTTGCCCTGGTGCACAACTACTCTGCGGTGGTGTTGGGCACGACGGCCGTCAAGGTGGCTGCCCACAAGCTCTACGAGTCGCTGGGCTTCAGACACATGGGTGCCAGTGACCACTATGTGCTACCTGGCATGACCCTCTCGCTGGCCGAGCGCCTCTTCTTCCAGGTCCGCTACCACCGCTATCGCCTGCAGCTGCGCGAGGAGTGACAGCCACCGCCCGCCCGCCCGCCTCCCCGGCCGCCCACGCCCACCTGTGCCCGCCCGCCCGCCGCCCCTGCCGCCCCCCCCCTGCCCCCCCCCC